ATAAGTTTCTTAGTTTTGTTACTACGATAAATTATTATCAACTCTTCATAATTAATATGGGATTGTTTGAGATAAGTTTCGCAAGGTGCTTTTGGGTTCATAGTTTAAAACTCTATTCTTATTGAAATGATTAGAAGACATCGGTTAATGACATGTTAAGACAGGATAAAATTAGATGGTCATTTTGGGGCAGTTTAATCAATTTGTTACTCTCCTGACGGTTCTTCATAAGCATCTGGCAGTAGGGGATAACTCAATTCGTCTATGGAATGTAATGGCACAAGCTTTAAGTAGAAATGATTACTAATAAATGACTCTATCTCGTTGTGTTTATGGCATACATTACATTGTTATAGAGTAGAATAATTTTGTTATTTTTTAATATTCTCTATATATATTTATGAAATCCAATCTTGGGTAATTTTGTAATTTAATAAACTATTAATAAAATTGAACTTTTTGCTGATATTCTCGTTGTGTAGATATTAATTAATTTCTAAAAAAATCTATTTGAGTTAGGATTACATAGTTCTTATCTTAATGATTAATAACTAGCTTCTTTGGATGTAATTCATATAGAGCTGATTTAAGATTATTGTTAGGCTATAAATATGAATTTATAACTGTTGTTTCTGACATCTTAATATTATTATTTAAATAGTAACAAAAAACACATGTTATTCAAAAAGTTATAAAAAATTGATTAAAATTATAATTGCAATGTTTTTAATGAATATTCAAATTCACTACTTTTGCTTTAAGTCTTCTAAAAAGCAACTTCCTTTAGATTTAAACAATGGTTTTAAATCTATCCCTTAATAATTTATGAATTGTCCTTATAAGATAAGTGTTCCTGATGCTTCTAACCAAGGATTCTAACATATTACAAGTATTGTGCAATAAGGATTAACTAAAAATAATTAATAATACATACAATTTGGCAATAAGGAGCTATTCTAAAGAGGTATGTTGAACTAGGCAAGCAAATCTTTATAGCTGCTATCTGATTGGAGTATTTCCTTTGATGTTTTTACATTCCAAAGATGAATAGAGTTATCATCACTACCAGAAGCTAATGTATTTCCATCAGGTGAGAAATTGACTGAATAAACTGTTGATGAATGGCCATCTAATTTAGCTATTTATTATCCTGTCTTAACATTCCATAAACGGATAGACATATCTCCACTACCAGATGCTAATGTAGTACCAT